TCGAGAAGCAGACCTTTTTTAATGAATACCATTGAGTTTGTTTCACTTAGGGCTTAAATATTTTTAAAAAAGAAACAGCTATTAATGTTCATCCAGCCTCAGAATGCTAGAAGGAAAAGGAGAACAGATTTGAATCCCATTCTTCTGTTCAGGGTGAACCTATGAAGGTCCTTGCCATATAACTCAAGAAAATAGAATTTTCTGAAAATACTAATGTGCTGACAGTGCATAGGCAACTTTGTGGGGGCTTGGGGACATGTTTGTGCATTGCAGACAGAGAAATTTAAAATATGCAAGAGCATAACAAGGAGTTGGTGGAAGGACTGGACTTTTATATATAATTTGATACAACCTAATGAGAGTGTTTGAGATGTTTGAGTTAAAGTTAGCATTTAGACAATGACTCAAGCTCTCAAATTTTACCTTATAAGGCATATACTTTATATTATAAAACATTATATTGTATGTTATTCTTCTAATAACAAAGATTAGCCTTTTCTTCCCTTTCTAGATAAGGAAACAAATTTATGTGGTGATACAGCTAAGTGCTTTTATAAAACCACAGAGGAAGGAGAGACCATGCTAGGCTGGAGAAAGGTCAGGAGGGATCAGGGATGGCATTTGTCCTTGGCAATGAAAGATGGGCAGGAAAGGAATATGTACAGGGAGGGGGAGGTGAGACAGGATGAGCCATTCATGGAAGTAAGAGATTGGGGGAGAATTAAGTGTCTAGTTTGACAATATTGTAGGATGCGTCAATATAAAGGGAAGAAAAGGGAATTAAGGCTAGATTGTAGGATGAGATCAGATAATGGAAAGTCTTAGATGCTCTAATAAGCAGTTAGACTTACTAGGTTATTTTAGGTTACTAAGTAGAGAAATGACATGATCAGAGAGGTGCCCAAATACGATACTCTGTGGGAAAATCTATAGGACAAAGGAGAAGGAAAGGACCAGAGTTTGGGGATCAGTTAGGAGGCTACTGCAGTCATTTAGAGGGGAAGAAAGGTGAGTCTAAGTGGGGTGGAGGCAGCCAGGATGGAGAGGGAAGTGCTCTGATTTGAACAGAATCTGGACCAGGTCAGGTAAAAGAAGATTTGATTATTTTTGAGAAGGCACTCAGCAGTGCTTGTCAAATAGTGGGTATTTAATACTTGTTTCTTGAAAGGTTATTGAAAGCCACTACAGGACAGAGATCTGCTCTCCGGGGCCTAGGGTGCTGAGTGAGCTAGAGGCTGCTGGGAGGACAGCAGCCAGCTATTCAGACTGTGGGCTATGGACTCCTGCCGGACTATAGACTGTGTGGCCAGACTGTCATGAGAACAGAAATTGGAAGTAAGCGTTTAGAAATAGCTATAGCAGTTTAACAGAGCACTTTTATGTTTTTTTGTCCTAATATTAAAGAATTGGGTCTTGTATTTTGGTTTTTGTTTTTTTCATTTCATTTTTTTCTCTTAATTGATTTTTATTGTATTTCATAAAAGTATTGTCTTCAATGAATTGTTAAAAAATGGATATTTTATGACAGAATGTTTGAGAAGCACTGGTGCCAGCCAGATATCCCAGTGGAAGTAAGAGTGAATTTGGATTCTGGGAGTGCATCTAATCATGGATTGGTGGGGGGTGTTCCTCATTGTGGGGGCATCAGGTTGGTACTAGTCATCACGCTGAAAATCTATACCTATAAGGTGATGATGTGGAAGCAGTAGAGTAAGGCTGACAGTAGTTACATTAAGTATCAAGGCCCCAGCAAAATGGCCTGGTCTTCAGCTGGGGCACCTTGCCTTAAAGGGATGCCCTGGAATGTGAGGCAGGGAAACTATTTAGAAGTGAGGAGTACAGAGCAGCAGCCCAGGTCTGTAGAATGGGCAGTAAGTGGGGAGTATGACTTTTCAGAGATCACACAGTTAAGGAGGTCACATTCTGTGTTTGGGTGACAGGAAGGTAGGTCAGGGTTGCCTGGGGTCCCAACATGAGTGGCCAGACCACTGATACAGCTTCATCTCAAGCTCTGAGGAGCACAGACCAGGAGCCCCTCAGCCATTTAACAAAGAATTACCGAGTCAGGTGAGAGGCACAATCTAGCTGTTAGGGATACTTTGGGAAACAAAAGAGAAAAGACCTCCACTCTCATGGAGACTACATTCTACTAGAGAGGCAGGCAATGAAAACATGAAAAAGGTATCCAACAGTGGCAAATAATACGCAGAGAATCAAAGTGGGGTGATGTGACAGAGAGGGAAGAGGGAGTACTTTAATTTGGCTGGTCAGTCCTCTCTCTCTCTTCTGATGACACTGAAGCTAAGATTAGAATGGCCAAAAGGAAATGGCCATTGGAGGTTCTTGGGGAAGGTCATTCCAGGCAGAGATGCTAAGATGAAACAAGCCTGCATAATGATGTGAAAGAAAGGGAGGCTGGAGAGCAGGAAACAGGAGAGCGTAAGTGAGGAGATCAGAGAGGGAGGCAGGTGTCAGTTCTAAATGGGCTGGGGAACAAGTGGAAGATTTTAAGCAGAGGAGTTGTCTGGCTAATGTTTTGAAAAGACCACTCTGGCTGCTGTTGGAGAACGGATTGCGGGAGAAGTACATAGCTACTGGATGAAAGAGATGTTGGAAGCTGGCTGGCCTGTAGCAACAGAAGTGGAGACAAGTGGTTGTAATCTGGAGTGGTTTGCACTGGGAGGTGGAGTACACAGGACTGGACGAGTGATTTGATGGGGCAGCTGAGGGACAGGAATAAAGAAACACTTCCAGTTTTTTGGGCTTGAGCAATTGGGTGAGTGATGGTGCCATTTTCTAAGGTGAAAAAGACTTGGAGAGGAACATGTTTGCTGGTAGAAATTAAAGAGTTTATTTTGGCAAGTAAAGTTAGAGAGGTATAGTGGAAAGGTCAAAAGAAAGCTGGAGTGTGGAATTCTGGGGAGAAGTCAGAGCTTGGAATTTGGATTTGAGGATCGTAAGTCCTGGATGCATATGTAGATAGAGGGAAAGAGGGGTACCAAGAGCAATATGGGGGGCACACTAACCCTCAGAGTCAAACACAGAGGAAGGACTCAGCAAAGGAACTGGAGAAGGCAGGATCTGAAGTAGGAAGGAAACCAGGAGAGTATGGTGTCCAGAAGCCAAGAGAAGAAGGCATTTCCAGAAGGAGGCAATAAGCAGTCCACTGTGCTGAGAGTAATTGAGGAAAGGGCAGAGAAATGACCAGTGGTTTGGCAACACAGGGAGCCCTGGGGCTGTGACAACCACAGGGTCAGAGGAGTGGTGCAGATGGAAACGTGGATGGAATGGTCTGGGAGGGAATGTGAGGTGGAGGTGTTCAGAATATGACTTTTGAGAAATGTTGTCCTAACAAGGAATAGAGTGTAGGGAAAGTCTTTTAATAGAAGAGATGATACAACAGGTCTGTGTGCTGATGAGAATGATGTAGTGAAGAGGGAAAAATCGCAGGGAGGAATGGGATGAAGGAAGGAGGAAACCTTGAGAAGGCTCAGATGGTAGAATTCAAAGCATGGTGGGGAGGAGCTAGTCTTTGAGAGGACCAGGACACTGTCCATAATACAGAGGAGACGCTGAGAATGGGGGGCGTAAATGAAGATAATTTAGTAGATTCCATGATTTTGTGGTGGGAATAATAGGCAGTTCCTCTCTGGTGGCTTATCTTTCTCTGTGAACTCTGAGGCAAGGCTATCAATAGTGAACGAAGATGCTAGTTGGTGGGGGAGGTGTGTAGGATGGTTGTACAAAGAGAAGTGGGAAACACTCATTTTGAAGAGTAAGAAAGGAAATATACTAAAGAAGTGTTACGCGTAAATATGACATTTGTGGTGGGGATTCAGTATGGGATGTGATGAGCAGAAAGAAGCTACTGCTGTTTAGAATCTGCTGCCTTGGAAAAGATGAACTCAGATCTGTGCCCAAGAAGCCAGAACCATCATCATGTAAGTGAGGATAGTGGGGCAGTGCATATTTGAGGGGGCTCAGTAGGATTTGGGTTCTGATTGCATTGGGGAGTGGGGTATGAGAGAGAGAGAGAAGAGGGAATTAAGATAATTTTAAAATATATTTTTTTAAGAGACAAAGTGTCACACCATCACCCAGGCTGGAGTGCAGTGGTGTGATCATAGCTCACTGCAGCCTCAAACTCCTGGGCTCAAGTGATCTTCCTGCCTCAGCCTCCCGAGTAGGTAAGACTACGGGTGTACACCACCATGCTGGGCTAATCTTTAATTTTTTTTGGTAGAGATGTTGGTCTTGCTATGTTCCCCAGGCTGGTCTTGGACTGGGTTCACGTGATGTTCCGACCTTGGACTCCCAGAGTATTGGAATTACAGCCATGAGCCATCACACCTGGCAATGAGATGTGACTTAGCAATCACTTCCAGGTTTTGCGCCTGGGCCACTGGAGTGATGGTGTCCCCTTTAGCCTGTGTTGTATGTTTTGTTTCAGGAAAACAACTTAACTTTTGGGGGTTTCAATTCTCTGATTTGTAAACTGGTTAAAATAATCCTAGTTTTTCATTTCCCATTGGATGTTTGAGATTTTTTACATGCAGTAACATCTGGGAGAGGGCTTGGAAAGCTGCCAAGCACCATGTAATTGTTATCCTGGTCACAAAATTAAAAGCAGAGCCTGGGTATTCGCAGCTTTGCGCTGTCATCCGGCCTGTGATAAATGCTGACTGGCTTCCTCGGCTCGCAGTGACTTTGATGCACAGTGCCTACTCTGCCCCTGTCGTTGTTGTCATGAGCCTTGTCAGTCAGGGTCTGAAGTGAAACCCACCGATCTATGAACTAGGGCACTGGGCTGTTTACTTCAATGTATTTGTGTTTGTTTATATATATGTGCATTTAAATTATAAATATATATAATAGAAAGTATAAATGTATATATATTTAATAAAACTATAAATCTATGTATTTGTGGAAAGTATATAGCAAGCCTCCTCTTGGGAAGGCGATTTCAGCACTGGCATATGTTCTGCTGTCTAATTGTGCCTCTCAGTCCAGGAGCTCCGCGGTACCTGTGGTTCCTGAAAGAGAGTTTGACAGGCTTCAGGAAAGGGTTAGTGCCTCTTGAACTGGGGAGATTACAAAACGAGCGTGGGCCTAAAAGGCTCCACAGAGGCAGGCAGCGGGATGGACAGAGCGGCTCAGAGGGAAGGGACAGAGCCGCTTTAATGTGCTAATGAGGGGAAGCCCAGATGCCAGCGGGCTCAGTGGAGCTCTTTGTGATGCCGGGTTCCTGGGGCTGGCTGGAGTCTCTGTCCCTATCTGGATCCTGCTGCAGGCCGGGGAAACACTGCGCTCTTAGAGAGGGGCCCTGCCCTCCAGAGATAGCCCCGTAGACCCTCGGAACGTGGGTGGACGGGGAGGGCGTGCGCGAGCCTCGGGGCTGGGTGGTGACTGGAAAAGAGGGCGCCAGGAGGCAGGGAAGGGGCGCTCAGACGACAGAGGACGGGACGGGGGCAAGTGTTCCGCGAGCTTGTGTGGGGTCAGAGCTGGAAAGGACCTTTGCAGCTTCGCGAAATTAACCGTTTTTCCTCTACAACTGCCAAGCTCGGGGAACGGCCTTCAAGCCCATCCAACAGGAGATAATCTGTCCTTGGAACTAGTGCAAGTCAGTTTTTAACTACTTGCGGAGAAAGTCTGAAACGTCACAACCAACCAAACAAAAACGACCACCTCCCAGTGAGTGCTGGAATGAAATTCATGTTCTGGTTATTTCATTCAGAGATGGCTCCAAGATTGCTAGATGGGAGGAGTTAGAGAACCCATTGAGTGGCAGCTGGGTCAGGGGGGGTTGTCTTGAAATTGTGTTTGCCTATCAAGAACACAGCGCAGGATTTACAAAGAGTATGTTTACTCGTACTGATCCATCTGCTAATGAAAAGACTGGGTAACCGAAGCCCCTCCAGCCACCCTTAAATGCTGCCTCTAGATTGCATTATAAAGTCTGGGGTCATAACTGTCTCCGGAAATATAAGTTCGCAGATAAAATAGACAGATGAAGATCATCGATCCATGATATTGTGACCTTTTGTGTCCTATATTTCCTTTCTGAATATTCGTGGGGGATATATAAATATTTAAATTTATAATATAAATATTATATATATTATATATGTTATTTCTCAAATAATGTATATGAAATATTATTTGTAATGAGTCTTTGTCCGTCTATCTGAACCTCCTTTTGTGCCTTGCTCTATTTCTCTTTGACACACACACACATATACACACACACTTAGACGGATAGGTAGAGGATAGTCTTCCACTTAATTGATGATAGCCCCCCAACTTTTTTTTTACCATGTTTTTTGGGAGGAAGAGCTCAAGAGTTAGTTCAAGAAGAATGATTCATTTTTAAAGTGCTTCATTTCTATTTTGGAGTCACACTGAATTGATACCACCTAAGAAAAATAGAAGCATTCGGTGTAGAATTACCCATGAGCTAGCTATATTTGGAAGTGTGAATGCACCTGTAGAACAGTCACCCCATAAGGGGTTTCCCCCCATGTCCCTGAGCCATATATGGCTTCGTTATAACACTTCAATTCCAGGTGACAATAAGTACTGTGGCTTGGATTTCAGATTTTACTCTTTTTTACCCGTTCTAACAGTTTGTGTGAATGTAGTGCCTTTCAGGCAAAATTCTTCTATTTTATATAAAAAATTTCTCCTTGTTGCTTCCCATCTATTTCCTGCCCCTAATGGGATACATGCCTTTTGGATTGACCTTCCTTAGTGAAAGCTGGGCGGTTTCAAGCCTAAAGAAGTATAGGCAATGAGGTGCTTGCTTGCACTGGTTTTAGAAAATTGATCATTTGCAACTCTTAGACTGATAAATGAACTCATTTGTGTCCAATGCAAAGAGACCCTAATTATTACTTTCCTGGCCCCAAAGTTAATTGCAACCTGAAAACATGCCTTCCACAATGACAGAAGAAAAACACCATTTTAATGCATTTGTAGCAATGGGTGTGAGATTGTTCATTTTGGATATCAATTGTCAAAGAAAATAGTGATTATGAAAAAATGTAAATGGGAATGTAGGTAGAGTAAACTGGTGTACTGGACTTGCAATTGATTAAGCCTTGGCTTGGTGAATTAAGACAACAACAAAAAAATATTTCTTTGCCAAATTGTCATCTTTATTGTCACAGCTAGAAAGCTGTTCATTAGATTTAAGATCCAAGGATTCTCTTCCTTTTTAGTTGCTATTGAGCAAGCATGTAAAGGCCAGAGTCTACAAAGTACTTTTTTTCTAAAAGAAATTTCCATTGCCTGGTATATTCCACTACCAAGAGTGGTTGGAGGAGATAACACTTGTTTAATCAATTAGTGGTGTGCTTAGGGTAGGCTGGGGAAGACAAGCTAAGAGAGTTGTATGGTAGTTAGGTAGTCCCAGCTCAGAGTAAGCAAGGAGAAGGGAGAACAACATTTTCTTATTGTCATTCATAAATATGTTCCTAAACAAGTTCTACCAGTTAGATATTAATCTGCCTTAAATTTCTTCTTTATATTCATCACCCTGGGAAAATTAAACAAAATTAGATTTATATCATTTGCATGTTACTTTAAGGACAGTGTAGTCCTAAATGTGGTTAGCAGATGCAAACAAGTATAAGGTTAGGTCCCTGATCTCAAGTATACATATATTTTTATTTGTATATATTCATGGAGTACAAGTTCAATTTTGCTATATCGTTAAGTATATTTTAATTTCGTTAATCAGTTATTATTTTAGTAATCAACTTGATTGCTTTCCCTTTAAGAGCTGAAATCAGTCACAGAGCAGGATGGGAGCATTACTTGAAGGCATCTTTAGAACATGGGACATTGGACATTAGGACAGGTCTGACTGCAGTGCAACATGCTTAGAACTTGTCCTATCACCGGACTTTCATTATGTGGGATAATTAGTATCCTCTTTGAGCCAAGTTTAGTTGGGATTTGTTTAACTTGCAGCTGAAAGCATCCCTAAGCATCTTTCTGTGTTACCAGCAGCCACTTTATGACCATGAAGTTGGAGTTTTACAGGGGAGCAGATTGTATCACTAGAGAGTTGGAAACAATTTTGAGCTAGCGGAGAGGAACACCTAAGCATGGAGAGCTTAGAGATCATCTTTGCTATCTTTGAAATATGTTCAGGACCCTCCACCAATGAAATCAAACATCATTTCACCAGATTTTCAGAGGCACACTGGTCAATAAATGTTTGAGAATATATCTGTGCAAGAGCTATGCAAATTTTGACAAGTTATCTGAAATACATGGTTTCTAAATACCTGCTAACTCTTAAAATCCATGATTATACATGACAATACAGCCTAAAGTCCTTCTGACAAATCAGATGAAGTTTATTTCTAAAGCATATGTATAGTCTTTCTTCTTAATGTGCTGGCACCTCAGAATAAAATTACAGCCCAGCCATTTCAGCACTCATTCTGTATGTGCTTGTGGCCTAGAGGCAGACAGCCGATGCAGAGAGTTTAGAAGTTAAACGTCTTGTGTACTAAAGCTAAGCTCCAAAGAAGGAATTATTAGATACCTCAGTATATTGGGATAACCTTGCAAAAGCGGGCTCGGTTTAACTTGACAGGTTTTCTGTACTGGAATAGAATGGAATTTGACATACATATGTGTATATACACACACACACACACACACGTATATACACACACACATATAGGAATAGAATGGAAATTGACATACATATATACACATACATATATGCACACGTATATGTATATATACACATATATGACTAGAATGGAAATTGACATACATATATACAAATACATATATGTACATACATACACAGGTATATATACACATACACATAACGCACGTGTGTACATATATACACATACACACATGTGTGTATACATATGTATACACACATGTGTATATGTAATGTATATGTGTATATATACATATGTATGTGTATATTATATATGTACACATATATGTATGTGTATATATGTATGTCAATTCCATTCTATTCCATATATGTGTATATATACATATGTGTGTATATATATTTAAAGTGTCAGTTAACCTAGTTGGCTTTTAAATTCCTGCTCCAGAAAACACAAATGTAGCACCTTGAGGAGCAGGGCAATGCCGGAAGGTTGTTTACTGTGACAAGCTTTCTTTTCCTCTCTCTAGTATATGTTGCTTCACTAAAGCAGGGTATTTTATCCAGTGTGAAGTGATAGAAACTTGCTTTATAATATTATCAAGAATCTGCCTACATAAAAAAGAATAATGAAGTCATTTGGCTTACATTTTTGATATCATTTGTATTGCCTCTGTGCAGGGGTAGGTGAAGCAGTTTCTATAGCTGCTGTAAGCAATAAGCCTCTAAATGTTAAATGCTGACTCAACATAAGCATGTCTGCAGAAGAAGATGATTAACTTGAAGAGAAGCTAGCGTCAGCAAGAAGAAATTCAACCACACGTTCAAAAGGAATATAGAGTATTTACATGTGACGTCTTCAGAAGCCACCTCAGAAAGAGAAAAACGTAATTGTGTCACATAGAAATAAGTGTGTTCTCTCCCTTCTATCGTTGACATTTGGGATTTTGTTCCCCAGAGTCTTGCATTGGTTTTTCATCTAGTATATCCATCTTACCTCAGATATTTAATCTAAGCCAATTAGTTTATGGCATTTGTCTGGAGTCCGGGGCATGGAGATTGTTGTTGGTCTTGGGGTGGGCAAAGGTCCCAGGTTGGTAAAACCAGATTGAAGATAAAGGACTTGCATTTAGATGGGGAAGGAGCTGTCTCTTTCTCTTGCTGAATTTGATAAAGCCATTCTGCTACCAGCTGCTAACAGTAGCCACTTTATGACCATGAAGGAAACCAGCAGTAGGATGTTACTAATGCTAAAGACAGCAGAGTGGACAGAAGGAAACCAGCTGGGTCCTTGGAGATGTTATTTAGCAACTGATTGCAGTGCTACATGCTTGAAGCTTGACTGGACTGTCATTATGTGGGATAATTAATATTCTCTTTAAGCCAGGTTTAGTTGAGGTTTAACTTGCAGCTGAAAGCAT